GAGAGAGTAAGGGAGAGAGAAATATCAGTGTTGTTGTTCTCTTTTTAAAAGGATAGCAGCAGTTTGAATACCCTGCCAGAGTTCCCAGTATATTCTAGTTGTTTTGTTCTGAGAACAAACAGTATCTCATCACAGTTAATGCATGAATACATGAAGTTCTTCTGAAAGAAGTGGGTGCTGACAATGTGACAAATGGTTGTGTGTTAAGCTGTTCAGTCTATCGTGGCTCTATTTCAAGTCACTGTCACCGCTTTTACAGCTTTGTTTTTAGCCACAACTTGTACAAAAAATCCACTGTAGAATACCTGTTCATTCCCAAATAGCAGGTAGATGGAGTTCATAGATCATAGTGGAGCATTTGGCAGCCAAACAGCCAAATTGTTCCCTCAGGAATTGGTAGAGACCAAAATGAGAACTAAAAGAAAGTGAATATTGGACTCATACTCAGCAGGTGGCCAGAAACATGAATGATAGTGTTGCTTCATTATAGCTGGTTATATACCTAAGCTGCTTGCCAAATTAACTTAAAAAAGCCCTCAAATGGGCCAAATAAATCAGTCATTCCAGTTTCAAGGTAAACTCAGACTTTGTCTGATGAATATGAGCCAGAGTCTAAAGTTATAAGGAGCGTCTTTACTCTACGACTTTAAAGTTTTTAGAAACTGTGTATATGGATGCACTGTTTGTCAGTGACTCATATATTATTGGCCCATTAGATTCAATTATTGTAATTGCACTGATCATGGAATGGCTGCAGATGAGGGACACAACCTAAACCCCGGAGTATACAGTATTTCTAGTGCAGAGGCCCACGTTTACTGTTTACTCAGGTTGACAATGACATGCTTGTTACCTGTCCAATCTGACAGTACAAACAATTTATCAAACATCTGCTGAGCAGGCGGCGCATAATAAACTTCCATCCTACTCTCCTCCTCTCATTACTACCAGTGCGTCTCTTTACATCCACAGGAACCAGTTTAATGGTAAAGGCGTGCAACTTTTTTTGGACCTTTAGTAGCTTGAGATGAACATTAATTAGTCCAACAGTACAGTATGTAAAGATATTCTTTTTTGCAGCCTATACATTGCTTGACAATCGGTACATATGGTGTGGCATTAGTTTAATTTTTACATTACAAACTAATTAGACCACACACACACACACACACACACACACACATATATATATATATACCATCCAGCTTCATGAAGTACTTCAATTCGCTCTCTATGTTTTACCATTTTACACCAGAATGAGGAATTTCAAACTGATTTACCTTTTTATACCTGAATGTGAGCCAGCTCACTGGGCTTCTCTGAGAAGTCAGAAATTAATCAAGCATAGCTGTAATTTGACATCTTAATCAAGAAGTAATAATGTGCGTAACTACTTTTTCAGCTTTTTTGTAAATCAGAAAATTTGAAAATTCCTGGATAACAATAATAATTATACTTAACCACTAAAAATATCATTTCAGTTAAAGAGCATCTACATACTGGTGCAATAATTACAGAAACATTAAAAAAAGATTTTGGCAATTATCAATGCTGTTAATTTAGGGCAGCTGTGGCATAATCCTTATATTGGGTAGTGGTCTAAAAAAAATTGTTAAGCACTGTATTAAAAAAAAAAAAATTATACCAAAAATACTAAAATTGTCCAGTTCACATTTTTGCATTTGAAATATTCAAATTATTGTTTATCAGGTGGTCCACAACAGAAATGTACTGTTTATCATTATGGGCCTTAAAATTCCATTACAGTGCATCCCTCTTTGTTTACGTGTACATTATCTACATAGGTATGTGTTTTAATGTCAGTGCATCCTGTTTCTCAATTTGACCCCGTGTTCTGCTAGTAATGATCTACATCTCTGTGCTGAATGTGCACCCAGCTGAGGGTTGTGTTTATTATTAGCTTTGGTCATTATTCTATCATCAGTTCAGACCAGAGACCACTTTACTCATGATGTATTTGCTTTGCCTACAAGTGGAATCCAATAAAAGCTGTCCACGTTTTGACAGCTGAAGCTTACCACCCAGGCAGACAAAAGACATGAAACACTCTTCTACTATTTTTATTTGTCTTTCAAATAAGAATCAGGCATAGATGTGAAAACCAGAGATGCCTTATTCTGGCATGAAGTTTTCTGGCCTCTTGCGGCTCGCTGCGAACGTCGAGAGAATAGACTTCTTGATCGATGTTCTGCTACACCCTTTAGAGTTTCCATAGTTGCACTGTAATGAGCATTTCTAGCTTCTAGCTTGAAAGCACAACAAAAGCATAGAACCACATACAGCAACATGGAAATACTAATAAGCAATACAGACGAAGCATTCCAGCTTTTTTTGTGCAAAAGCCAGAAATACAAACACAAAATAAAATGGTTACTGGGGTGATTTTAAAGACAAACAATGGCTTGGATCAGATAGTGAGTTGGATTCGATTTGAAGAGGCTAAATGACGTTCTGTGTTGTTTTTTTCTTTCCAGTATCCATAAGGATGTTTGTTTGTTGTGGGTGAATTAGAGCTGGGGTAGGCAGTATTTTTATTTTTATTTTTCTGCATCGTTCGGCAAAAAAACTCAAGCGGTCTGAGAGAAAACTGGATTTCTGCACGCCCTCTTGGCTCCACTGTCAGGTCTAGCCTGTGTTGGTAGATTTTAGCCAATCACAAGTCTCTTCACATAGAGCAGGTGAAACAGTATGAAGAGCAACAAAGCTTCATGGGCAGAGGAAGATGGGATGATGTAATGGGGTAGATGGAGGAACCTCAATTGGGAGTGCCGAGCTCAAATCCTAAATGAAGCCACAAATAAATGTTGACTTTTAATCTTCCTGTCTTCAAAAGTGTAGCTGTCTGATAGGAGGGGCTTAGAACAGAGAGTGAAGGAGGAAGGTTGCATATTTGCAGATTCTGGCATTTCTTTGCTTTTTGAGATTTCTGCCTGCTGCAACTTTAAAGCTTGGCTGTCCAACTGCGTAACTCTCTGTATTTGAGCAGAAAACATATGGCACCCTACAGAATTTAACAGCTACAAGTCTATTTAATTGGAGAAATTTAGCAAAGAATCTAACTGTGCGTTAAAAAAAAAAAAAAAAAAAAGATTTGCAAATAGTCAGTTTCCAGGAGGTCCTGTTGTCTCAAAAACCTTCTGTTCTCATTGCATCAAAAAGTTACCAGCAAACCAAACATATGGCTAACTTTTCAAAATAAGTGCGTCTTTATTTCTGTAAAACCTCAGACTAATCTAAAAGCAAATTTTTAAATTGGTCTAACACTGTGTGTTAGAATGAGATGTCTTTGTGAGACTGGCCCCTGTTTCCGAGCCTTAATGATTCGTCATGCTCTGGTTCTGATCCTGGTCTGATCTCTGTATAATTATGAGAACGATCACATTATACAAAACTGCGTTCACATACAGAGAAACAGACACAGTGAAAATGTTGCTTTTTAATTTTTTTTAAATAGATTTTTTTTTTCAGGTTTTGTTTGCAGTCCTGATCTTAGAAAAGTTTATACAGAGTGTGGGAGCTTTGTGCTTCTCAGTTAATGCGTAGTTTGTCAAGGCCGACAGATGATTTAACTGAATGTCTGCTAAGTAAAGCATTTTCTAGTTTATTTATAATTACAAGAATGGACTTTTAAGCTCTTCTATGTATATGATTATTAAAAACTGACCCGCCCTGCAGATGAGGGGAAGTAGAGTGATTTGATGTGATGGGGCCGACAGAGAGCCAGTGGTTTGGTCCAGTATCTGCTTGTGTTATTTAAGGTTTTTTTCTGGCCTGGTTAAAATGTGAATTGTGGGTAAGAGAGAAGCAGAGGGTGAGGGTCAACCGGACTGACTGGATACTGAGGGAATCTGGAATCACGCCATCGTGCAAAAAAGCTCTTCTGCAAATGAGAACAGGACACTGAAACGTGAATATAGAGTAAGCTATTTCCTGTTTAACCAGTTGGGCAAGATAAATGGGAGTGGATGTGCGATGTGAACAGCGTTTGCAGCGTGTGCTTCTGCATGTTCAGATTTTGTTGTGGGGTTGTGAGTTCGGTCGAAGGTTACGATAACAACTCTGGTGTTCATTGACTACCCTAGTTAGCATTGTGATGTTATGGTTCCATATTAATGCGTTACTGATTAAATCACAGGATCAGTGGTACATTAGCAGACCTTTCTTGCCCTGCAGAGTTTTGTGTGTGTGTGTGTGTGTGTGTGTGTGTGTGTGCGCGTGTGTAGTCTGGTCAGCGTTTGAGCCTTGTGTGTCATATGAGAGACCATGTCTGTGATGATTACAATCATGCATCTGATCACGAGGGCCGTGCCCCAGTCATGCTGAGCACTTTGCCAATAACCCTTTCCTAACTGTTGAAAACAGGAGAGTAAAACATGAAAGGAGAGTATCTCTTTCCTTCTTCTTCTTGTGTCTTTAAAAGGTGGGGGATGGAGTGAGTTATGTGAGAGAGTATACGTGAGTTTGTGTGTAATATGAGGTGCTAGGTGGCTTTTAAGTGTTTGCTGGTGTCTTCTTTGCCCTCCTGTGGTTTTAAACTCACAGTGAAGCACCAGGATGCAGTCTGACTGCTTGGAAGAATGTGGGCAAACATCTTTGTTTGTTCAGCGTGGTACAACAGCATCCAGGATGTCCATACCTGCATGTAAAATCAGTCTTTTTTCTAAAATGAGGCAACATTGTGCAACAAGTAGAGAAAAACAGATCAGTATTCAATTCAATTTTATTTCTATAGCCTGAATTTACAATATACGAGGTGTGTCAGAAAAGTTTCAGGACTGGTTTTACAAAAGATATATTTCAAATTCAAACTACAAACTACGAGTTTTCCCCTTTGAAGTAATCCCCCCGGAGTCTAACGCACCTTTCCCAGCATTCTCTGCCATGCCGTCATGCACTCCTGGAAGGATTCTTCCGGGATCCTCCGCAGCTCTGTCGTCACAGCCATCTTGATGTCGTCCACGTCTTCAAAACGGGTCCCTTTGATGACCCCTTGAGCTTGGGGAAGAGGAAAAAATCCCACGGACCAAGGTGGGATGAGTAGAGAGGTTGCCAGGAACTGTCAGATACTCAGGGCATTGTGAGCAGACACGTTCTCATTGTGAAGCAGCCAGGACTTGTCCTGCCACAACACTCGCCTCTTCTCGCGCACTGAACGAAGCAAACGCCGCAGGATCTCTTTGTAGACATACTGGTTGATCATCTGAAGGGGAAAACTGCTAGTTTGGAGTTGGTGTTTGAAATATATCTTTTGTGACACCAGTCCTGGAACTTTTCTGACACATCTTGCATGTCATCTCACAGCATCACACAACATAGTAAAGTACGGACCTTACAAATTTTGAGTATCAGCATTCATACAGCTTTATTGTACTTATGTGAGGGAATGCATCTTTTTAAAAAATGCTCCGATACTATGACTTTCATTCAGTGATGTGCTTTGGGGTAACAAACATAATTTGTGTGCAGATTTGTCATTTTCAGTGCATTAAGGGTATAATATTTAACTGTTATGTTTAACTAACAGTCAATTTTTTTTGTATATTACTCATTTTGAAGTGTGTTGTGTGTAAACTCTTTTCCTCAGGTGGAACGTTTACATGCATTATTCAACTACAACTAACCACATGATCAAATTACTGGCTTTATGAATAAATTCATCATGTTGAGAATATTACCAGCCACACATCTAGATAGTTGGCATAGCAAGTTGTATTTTTCTGCAACAGCTGCTTAGTTTTATAAAAAATAGTCCTGACACACATCTGGTTTCCATGTCATATTGAATGTTTTTGTGTCTCCCTTCAGGACCTGGTTAACACTGCTGTCAGCGCCTTATTTTTCTTCTTGTCATCTATTGTGCTGACCTGCATCAACCACAACACTGGAGCTGAAATAGCAGCAGTGGTGAGCGTACATTTCCAGACATCTGCCTCCATTTGTCCTCTAGTTGCATCTTATCAAGACACATAAGAAACATGAAACATACTGATGCATTTGAGTGTCAGCTGAAACCTCGAAGGTCTTGTTTAAGGAGCTGTTCCTGCTTTTAAATTTACTGACTGGACCACTGAATTACCAGATTGTTGTTGCTCACTGGTAGCTCAAGTTACTCCGAATCCTTTAGCTACAGAAATGAACTCTTATTTCTGACCGCTAGACAGTGCCTATGTGAGTGTTTATTTTTAGCAAGAACGATTGAACTCATTTATCTTTTTGTGTCTATTCATGTACGTTTCCCAGCTGTATTCAGACATTGTTACCATGCTTCCTGTCGCACTTGTATGCAGATCTTTGGCTTCCTGGTGACAGGTGCATATGGAGTAAACACCTTCCTGGCAGTGCGGAGGTGGCGCCGTGGCAATGGGTGTCAGGGGGCGGCTCCGACCAGCGAGTACATTCGAGCACGCACAGCGTCTCGCGGAGAGATGGAAGCGCGACCGGAGCTCGCATGAGCGCTGGAAGACAATCAGACAGACTAAATGAAAGCCACACGACCAGCAGCTGACTGAGATGGACGCATACTCCTGCCTTTCAGAGCGGTATTTCATTCGAGTCTTGTGTGGAGCAGCCATCTCGGGCTCACCACATGCTTTTTGACTCCTTGTTGCAACACTTGCAGCTGCGCAGTGTGCTTGTCCATCCTAGGCACTGAATCAGTCTTCATTCCACAGCCACAGATGAGCTCTTTGGCTTCGTTTATCAGTAATCCTGGCTGCTCTTAAAGACACACAAAGACTCCGAGGTGGGTCAAAATTGAAGGTTTTGCTTTGTAAAATGTTTCAAGTTGTTTTTTAGTTGTTTTTTTTTACATATCTTTTTAAAACAAGGACGAAGGACGACTTCCTCGAAGACTGTGCATCAACTCCTGTTCTGACGTAGGTGTTGACTTTTTTGTCTTTCACTGTGAATGAAGTGAAGTAAAAGAAGGATTTGTACAGTTTTGCTCATGTCATGCCGCTGCTTGTGAGGTCTGTGGTAATAAATGTGATAGTGAGTCCAGAAACATACAAAAACCTCCAGTGCAACAGAAATACCGGGATGTTATTAGTCTGTAATACAACCTTTGGCTTCTGCCTGCAAGCAAGGCTGACATTAGATTATTTTTTCTAAACACTATCCATGCTGAAATATAAAGTTTCTCCTTTAAAAATGCCTTGGAAATTTAACCACTATTAAGATATTTGCCGTTAGCAAATATAGAGCAACAGCACAGGGTCATTCTTAACTGCAAGACCGACATTATAACAACATATGGTTGCAATATTTTTCAGTGAGTGAATGAAGATTTACTCCTTTTCAGCCCATGAATCAAATCAAAACACATTCCATGTGCTTTTTTCCAGGTTGTATGTAACCTATTTGAAGAATATTCACTCCAGCATTCCTAAAACTATTACTTTGAGACACACTGCAAGCCAGTAGTAGGTTAAAGTTGAGGTAATTGTTGGTATCTTGTTCCCTTTACACATATCCAAAGCTTCAAGTTACACAAATTTCAACACTACATCGGTGAGATTTAATTTGAAACAGGAGGTGACACGGTCGATACCATTGCCCTCAGCCTCTACACTGTATCTCAGGTATTGACACTCCTTCCATTTTTGATTCTTTAAAAAAAACAGACATTTGAAATGAACTCACAGGGTGCCTCGACCTGAACGCTGTATATTTTGATGCCTTCCTAATCAACAGACATGATCGGACTGTCACACAGAATGGAATTAACGGATGACATGTATGGTACGTTGAGCTGTATGTCACAGTTTTCAATCTGTATTTGTTTGAATTAAAATCTGTGTATATGTATCTACAGTGTATGATCACACCCTTCATGTATTATAATAGCTCTTATCATTCCACACTGCAGCTGTTGTAAAGCTCATACATACAAAGATTTCCTTTAATTTTGTTGTTTGTTTGTTTGTTTGGCCAGTGCACCTGTGTTTTAATCTTAGAAAAATAACATATTTGCTTTTTGGGATGACAGAATAAATGTCAGCTTGATTTCTGGCGTGCTACATTGTTATAATGTATTGAATCTACACTACAGTAACATCTGATACCTCTTTAGGCTTGGGTAGGTTTTCTCGGGAGCGACTCTATGATGCCATCTCCTGGTTTTGATCGAACTTGTTTTTCTCGTGAGTTCAGTAGATGGACTGTACAGCCAGATAATTGTGATAGTACACTCTCCGGCCACTTTATTAGGTACACCTTGCTAGTAGCGGGTTGGACCTCCTTTTGCCTTCAGAACTGTTTAAATACTTCGTGGCATAGATTCAGCAAGGTACTGGAAACATTCCTCAGAGATTTTGCTCCATATTGACATGATAGCAACATGCAGTTGCTGCAGATTTGTCGGCTGCACATCCATGATACGAATCTCCCGTTCCACCACATCCCAAAGGTGCTCTATTGGATTGAGATCTGGTGACTGTGGAGGCCATTGAAGTACAGTGAACTCATTGTCATGTTCAAGAAACCAGTCTGAGATTAAATGAAATGAAATGAAAAATACTGTATTTATCCCAGAATGGAAATTCAATCTTGTAAAAGCTCACTTTTTTTCCTTTTTTAAAAAAAAAAAAATCAATATAACATGTATTTGATACAACAATAATAATAATCATTCAGTCAGTCAATTGTCAGTCAGTCAGATTTGTTTTTTAAGGTGATGGCTGTTGGCAGAAATGACTTTCTGTATCTCTCTGTTCGACAGGGAAGCTGACGCAGCCTCCCACTAAACACACTCTGTTGATTCTTCACTGTGTTGTGGAGAGGGTGGGAAGAATCCTCCATCATCTTCATCATCTTGTGCAGCATTCTTTTTAAGAAGTAGAGTCTGCTCTGACCTTTCTTGTAGATGTAGTCAGTGTTGCATTTCCAGTCTAGTCTGTTGTCCAGCTGAACTCCAAGATATTTGTAATTCTCCACCACCTCCACCTCCTCTACCAGGATGTAGACAGGACTATGCTGCTTATTCTTGCTCCTCCTGAAGTCAACAATCATGTCTTTAGTCTTGCTGGTATTTAAGATGAGGTGATTGTTACCACACCATTTCACAAACTGACTGACCAGTTCCCTGTACTCAGTTTCTTGTCCATCACTGATACACCTCACAACTGTGATGGATGATTCGCGCTTTATGACATGGCGCGTTATCCTGCTGGAAGTAGCCATCAGAAGATGGGTGCACTGTGGTCATAAAGGGATGGACATGGTCAGCAACAATACTCAGGTAGGCTGTGGTGTTGACACGATGCTCAATTGGTACTAAGGGGCCCAAAGTGTGCCAAGAAAATATCCCCCACACCATTACACCACCACCACCAGCCTGAACCGTTGATACAAGGCAGGATGGATCCATGCTTTCATGTTGTTGACGCCAAATTCTGACACTACCATCCGAATGTCGCAGCAGAAATAGAGACTCATCAGACCAGGCAACGTTTTTCCAATCTTCTATTGTCCAATTTTGGTGAGCCTGTGCGAATTGTAGCCTCAGTTTCCTGTTCTTAGCTGACAGTAGTGGCACCCGGTGTGGTCTTCTGCTGCTGTAGTCCATCCGCCTCAAGGTTCGATGTGTTGTGCGTTCAGAGATGCTATTCTGCATACCTCGGTTGTAACGAGTGGTTATTTGAGTTACTGTTGCCTTTCTATCAGCTCGAACCAGTCTGGCCAGTCTCCTCTGACCTCTGGCATCAACAAGGCATTTGCGCCCATAGAACTGCCACTCACTGGATATTTTCTCTTTTTCGGACCATTCTCTGTAAACCCTAGAGATGGTTGTGTGTGAAAATCCCAGTAGATCAGCAGTTTCTGAAATACCAGCCCGTCTGGCACCAACAACCATGCCACGTTCAAAGTCACTTAAATCACCTTTCTTCCCCTTTCTGATGCTCAGTTTGAACTGCAGCAGATCGTCTTGACCATGTCTACATGCCTAAATGCATTGAGTTGCTGCCATGTGATTGGCTGAATAGAAATTTGCGTTAACAAGCAGTTGGACAGGTGTACCTAATAAAGTGGCCGGTGAGTGTATGTGTGTATGAAGGAAGGACCAGAAATCTACCTGAATGTGGGTAATATGAAAAAACAAAACAAAACTGTATGGCTTTTTTGTTGTTGTTGTTATTGTTGTTTTTAAAAACAGCCTCAAAATGCTTGATTAATCAGGCATTTCATGTTTTCAGTAACTTATGTTCACTTTCTATTTCTCTTGATTTGGTGACTGAAATAGTTGTATGAAAAGACAATCACATTTTGTATTTATGCCACTTGCATTGATGGATTTGTTTTTGACTGGTACTATTACAATGTTCACCTAAACATTTGTACAGCAACAAAATCATGCAAGTGCATTATGCTATTTGATGCTCTAAACTGACCGTAGTATTTGACAAAAGCAGCTCTTTCTGTGTACAACTTTGTGCTACAATATGTTATGAAGACTTTGTATTTATGAGACAGGAAAAGAAATGCTTTCCGCTAGTTTCCAGATTGTGATATAAACCGCAAACACGATTAGCCTGAGAATAACTGACGGTGAGATGCACCTCTGTTTTATAATAATTCTGTGTGCTTTTGTTAATAATCACCAGAAGGTCTGTCTTGTACAGCACGGAGCCGTACTTAGCTGTATTTTTGTATTTAAAACATCCTGAAAAGGCTTCACATCAGTTTATAGTGACAATTTAAATAAAGTGACATTATTGAAAATAACTTGTTTCTTGTTTTTAATGCACACAAGGGCAAAACAGTGAAAGACACATGTAACATTTTACCTACAAAAGTTCAGCAAGGGCTCTCATTTACAAAACGGCACTGAATTCATCATCATCACTGTTTGCACTGCTAAAGGGCATGATGAGATTTTGTTGCTATCCAGTGAAAACCACATATCCCTTAGTTAAACTGAGGTTTCTCCTACTTCTTAAGAATAAACAACTCACTTAAACTTCTTTCAAATTGTTGGAAAATGTCATCATCACAAACGTGTTTTTCTTTGTGAAAAACAAATATTTTGGAGATTTGTGGTTCTCAAAGGACAGCAAAGATATGTATCATCACATCCTAATTGCCATCAGTCAGAGCTCTTTCTTTTGCATTATCTGTATTTAAGTTGTATGAACATATACAGTCGTCTTCAAATTTATTCATACCCTTCCATTAAAGAAAAGGCAAAATTCACAATAGTCACTCAAATAACTAGAAACTGAAAAAAAGTAATGATAAATAAAATTTTGCTAAATTATATTTTAGTGAAATAAGATGTTGCTTTGGTATTGTGGGTGAAAAGAAAAATTAAAAAAACAACAAAAAAAAACTGTCCCGGACAAATTACAGCACTTTCCTGATGAGCAGTGGGCCAAAATCAAAATATCTGCCAACAGGTACAGAAGTCTGATTGAGAGTTACAGAAATCACTTGATTGCAGTGATTGCCTCAAAGGGTTGTTCAACTAAATATTAGTTTATGGGTCCCATCATGCTTGTTTGTTTGTTTGTTTTAATATTTCTGTTGAACCACAATTCAAAAGCAATGTCATAATTTTCATTACATTTTTATTTATTATTACTTTTGCCTATTTAACTTATTTCAGTGACAGCTGTTTTTTCCTTCTTTAATGGGAGGGTATGAATAAATTTGACAACATCTGTAGCTCTGACCTAGGATAGATTTTGGTGTTTTTCTTGTTGTTTTGTTTCAGTTTTAAAACCTAATTATGCATGAAGCCACAGATGAAACTATTGAAATTCCTTGTAGGAATTAATGGCTGCTGATCCCATTTTTCAGTCATTTGTTATTTCACACTCATGTAGTGCTGTGTGTAACACATAAACAGTCACTGTGGCTTTCTAGTGCGTCTAATTTTTCAGTAGTGGCAGTGGAGAAACAGAAGAATCAAAGATACATACAGAAATTGACAAAAAAAAAAAAAAACACACACACACAAGCACATGCTTGACACAAACAAGACTGGTTTCCAAAGCACAATGATTTACATATCTGATGTTTAGAATGTCTCGAAGTAATACTGCATTAAGTGGCTTCAATGCATCATTGTACATATGCAAACAGGTTGTAAGAAGTACATACAGCAGACAAACTGAAACATTCAAGCAGAGAGTCTCAAATTTTGGGTTAATTAAGCATGTTTGGAAAAAAAAGCATAATTTCTGTTGCCTCAATTCATGATCACACTTAAACATAAGGCATTTGGGACATATAAACAATGTCACAACCCTGAAAAGTCATGCAGTACAACATGTCACAGAAACTCAAAGGTCAAATTAAACAGAAGGTAAGAAGACATCCTCAAATTATTAAAAATACGGTCTTGTAGAGTTAAGACAAGTGGACAGAGGTTGTAACCAGCCAACCAGTCTTCTATATACTGTACATGTGTTTTTCTACAGTAATACTATAAGTTTATAAATGATGATACCCCACTTATGTCGGCCTCCTGTCACATTTTTTCTTCAACATTTTCATATAAAAAGGGTGGGAGCATTTTTGTTACAACACAACTTCATTATTAGCGCATTTGTTCTCTGAGGCGATTAATTTAGTGTTCTAGTTTGACCTGTTTTTAAACAGGGTCACAGTAAATTCCCCAAAATTCTTATTAATATTTTTTTCAGATTTATACGCATGCATGTGCCTGAAGCTTTGCCCATATTTCGTACAGAGTAACAAAATGGAACAATTTCACAGTTTAATGAAAGTACCGGGTTGATAGTGGCATTTACATTTTTCCCCCTAAATCATTATAAGAAACTGAGATATGAGTTTGGGCATGAAAAAGAACTGATTTTGCATTATGTTGTAAACTTCATGTAATGTGGATGCACTTTTAATGTAACCTTGTGGAACAAAGAAACACTTGCAGGTCTTTGCAGATGGCGGCTCAGAAGTGTCAGTTCTCCCACAATGATTTGCTCAAAACATATCTGCTGGTTCGGATCCCTGTGGTTTCAATCTGAGTCAGAGTCTGAAGAATCATCTTGAAAACAAATGTGAAAAAACACAGATTGAGTCAGAATGGGTCTTACTTCTCTGAGTTACATAAATAAGACATGTATGTTAAGTTTAATATAAGAAAATAACAAATGGACGAAGCATAGTGCACTGAAACAAAGTTGTCTTCATCTTTTAAACAGAGAGTAAATTTATGATGATATTGTAGAAAAAAATGGATGGAATCTGTTTTAACCTCTTAAGACCCGAGCTCTTGTTTGAAATGTATATTTTATTTCTCTTTGCTGTTTGATCTTATCAAATTTATAAAGAAAATAAAAAATATTTATGTATTTATTTTTACAAAAATAGAATAAATAACAATAAAATCATACATCACAAAATCATAAAAAGAAAAACAAATACAAAATTAACTACTGAGGTTATATAACCCAAAATGTGATGTCCACGCATGTGGATGACAGGTCTTAAGAGGTTAATGAAAATACAGCAGTGGAAGCTTTGATGGAACGAACTTTAAAATAGTTTAAAATAAGTCTTAAAATATGTGTCTCTGTAACTTGTGGCATCACATCAATGTAAAGCATATAATTTGTAGCACTCAAAGTGCTAAAGCATGTCATTTTCAAAACTCAAAACCAAAACAAATCTGTCCGAGGACACTTTAGACACGGTGTTGTGCACAAACAGTTAATATCAAAGCAAACATGCACAACCTATCATGCATAAAAGAGGATCATTAAATGTTTACTGATGTGTTTCTTCTGTAACTTTTGCACTTCTGTTTCTTGATAAACTGTGGGTAGGAGATGGATGAATACAATGTGCTAATTGTTGCACCAACATGCAACTGAAGTAGACAAATATTGCAAAAGACGTAGAAAGGTACATGCAGTAAATCTCATTTAAAAACACTAAAACTGGGCTATGTAGTTGTGAATAGTACATGTCTATATTAAATAATAAGGAGGCCTGTTTTTTTTTTTTACAAATTAGGAATACATTAAAATGTGAATTTACATGTTTTTATGTTGAATATATGAATGTGAAGTTATAACACAGACTATTAAAATATCACATAGTGGCAGTACATATACAGTAGTCCTATATAAATACTGAATTAACATACAAAACTATTTCTTTACATATGCCTGTGTAGATTCTCAGTCATATAGATTATGGTAGTCCTAGGAGCTTCAGTAAAAAGCAACCAGACATCTCTGAAAGGTTTTTGAAGATGTTTCACATCTCATCAAAGAGGCTTCTTGAGTTTTTCAGTTGTGAAGTTCTGAAGAAAAACTAAAGAAGACTTTTGATTGAGGTGTGAAACATGTTCAAAAACCTTAAAGAGAAGTTCAGTTACTTTTTACTGAGGCTCCCAAGGTTATTTATGAATATGTGAAAAATGTTGAATCAAAAGGATTATCCACCTATAAAAGCACAAATAGTTTATCATTTTCTATAAATGTTCTTATAATGCCATATATAAGACTTTCATTTGGGGTATTACCTTGCTGTCTTGATGGTTCGTCACTGGATTCCCCTCCCTGCTTTAGGAAACTGGCCAGCTCATTGAAAATTAGATAAAAATCTAAAGCAAAAACAATGGTGGCAATAAAGCCGAATATCTGCGAAAAGAAGGACATCTGATGTAAAAACAGTGGAAAAATACTGAAAAACAAGGTGGGGTTGTTGACCTAAGGCAAAGTGTGTCACGTGTACTTAACAATACTAAGTTACGGTGATGTTGACTGTGATAAGATATTTTACCCCAGCAGCCTTTGAGGAACCGTCCACATATTTGGACACTGCCATTATGGAGATGATGAAAAAGATAATGGAGGCACTCACACATCTCATAAAATCCTTCAAGAGAGAAGAGGCACAATCAAAAATGACATTACTATTTTCTTCTTGTTAGCATTGCCAGATGATATCATTTGAAAACTGCTCTCACCATAAGAGGCCAGAGGAAGCCTTTAAACCTCTCATTGAATTTGGTGGAGTAAGCAAACAACAAGAAGAGCGCGGCCAGGAACTCCAGCACCGGAACCGTCACAAAGGCTGCCGCCGTGGATGCCGCAAAGCACACAAATGATATGAAGGACAGAGCCTGCAAAAAAAAAAAAATCAAAAATACGGAGAGAAAAATAAGCAGCTCAATGAAAGCTGTAAACACTTAAGACCCAAGCTCTTGTTTGATATGCATTTTAAAAAAATAAAAAATATAAAGAAAATTTATTTTAAAAATATATTAAAATATTTTAAAAATAAATAACAATAATAAAACAATAATGATGATTTTTTTTTAAATAAAAAAAAAATTAAAATTTAAATTAACTACTGTGGTAATATAACCCAAAATGTGATGGCCATACATGTGGTCGCCAGGTCTTAGAGGTTAAGTCAGAAGCCTGTTGGATTTATGCAAGTATTTATCTACTTCCAAGTGAGCTTCTCGAAACCAGTGGCAAATTTACATTTGCAATCCAAATGATAAATAAAATAAAATGTATCTTCTCAGATCAATTTCACTTTGAGGTAATGCTGCCCTGCCTCGAAGGTGTCTGAGTTACAGTTTCAGGGCCACATCCTGTAAGAAGATATAGCTGGTAAAAGTCAATGTTTATTCACACAGCCTTGTACACCGTTACACTGAATCCCCCTCTGCATCTCTCACACACTTGTTCAAACAAACAGGAAGCTGCACCAATGAAAGAATCTGTTTAAACATGCTAAATCACAACGCGAGTGGGGCCTTCCCTGCCTTTGGGCTTGCTTTCGTTTGGTGTGTCCGGCTCCTCTGATGGAAAAGCTTCAGACACTCTAATCTTTAACAGCCCCTGCCATCTTGTTTTTGTCTCAGTCGGTGATCCTATGCCAGCCTGAGGGTAGGAACTCCTCTGACTGAACCCAGATTGCTGCAGCTGCTGTACTATAAAAACACTGCCACTGAGCAGCATCCTGTCAAAGATCTGTAAGATTTCCCTTCTAAGAATCTAACACTTCCAGGTAAACTGCAGCAGCTTTTCTCTGAGACTCTGGATACACCCTCTGGCGTGTTTTGTTGTGAAATTGTGGGATGCTGGGATCATCATTGTGTTGCGCTGAAAAACTAAACAGCACTGGTAAATTTTCTTAAGCAGAAACCACACATCACACCAATCAAGCAATGTTAATTAATCATTTTTGATCTTGACTGACTAAAACAACTAATAAATTATCAAGTAAATCAAAATGGCAAAAATGTAAAGTCAAATCACAGTTTCTTAAAATGCAAGAAAACATCCTCAAATGTCTTGTTTTACTAAAGAAGACCATTAAACTGTATTTACAATGAAATTCTCAGTCATCCCTGTCATTGAATCCTAAGAGCTTCATTAGAATGCAACTGGACTTCCAAAAAAGACAAGTCTTATTACTTTCTGCTGGAGCTATTAGAACTATTTACAATGATATGAAACGGTGGAAAAGATCATCAAAATGCTTGCCCATTAATTTGATCAATTATTCAACAAATTGTTTCCACATTGGAGCGGAAAGTGCGGATAAAGTACGTGACAAGTAAAGTAAACAGTTAATAAATGTAGGAGATTTTGATCTAAGTGTGTATCTATTCTTTTAAACTCAGAAAGCGCCATAAACCCAACAGGCAAGAAACCCATTACACACTGACCTAAGAATTCTAACAATCGTTGTTTTTTTCCTTTATTAACTGCATGTTTGAATTCTGACAATGTTTGAAACACTACAAAACCACTTCTTTTTTTCTTTTTTTTCTTTTTTTTACAGCACATTAAGTGCACGCCCTGCGATTTCACATTCCTTCTTAGGACTGTTGCTGGCTGAGACTAAGAATCCTAATGAAAAATACACAGTGGTCTGACACACTGTGGATAATAATGCATGCTCAGCAGGATATGAGTCTGACTAATACTCCCAAGAATGGTAAAGACATGATGCATAGTCTCTGGAAATCAAACAGCTGAGTTTAGCAAAAAAATAAATTAAAAAAATTCAACTGTGTTAAAAAGACAATACAACTATGATTCATTTAAGTGAAAATAGCTTCCCAGCTACCACGAGCAAGTTTCACTCACTCACACCAAATGCATAAAGTAATTAACATTTTCTACTGTTTCACCATTAGGTCTCATTAAAACTTAAACTATGGATTTAAAAGGCATTTTCAGTTAGATTGTTGTCGCTAAAAAAAGGTACTTCAGTGTAGTTTGTGAATTCTGTTACCACCACAAACAACCTTCTTGTCATCTCTGTTTTACATTGGACAAAAATCCTCAGAGATGTATAAACTAAAGACTGGAGATTTCCTACGTAGTTATTTTGAATAAAAATATAAACACAGCATGTGATATTTCGCACATTTTTATCCATCCCTTTAACATAGGGGATTTAGTATTTGTTGCTCCAACACACAACATCTCTAAACTGGAATGGACATCATGAAACAACCAAGTATGCACTATATTGGAGATGATAAAGAGCAGATGGAGAGTGGGGTCATAGATGACAAATCACAGATCAGCAACAAGCGACACAGTGAAGCTGTTGATGCTGCTTGTCCCGCTCTTTCTAAATGGCTGGGTGAAGTTGATGGACATTTTCGGGTGACAGGATCGCGTTGTCAGACACATCCATCCAGACCGTCATGTAGCAGATGGTCTGTCACACTACGCTGTCTCAAATGATTTCTTAAGACAATAAATGGTGGCCGGGGCTGCAAGGTGGCTCGGTGGTTAGCAGCGTCGCCTCGCAGCTAGAAGATCATTGGTTTGTGTCCCAGTTAGGATGCCGGGATCCTTGTGCGTGGAGTTTGCATGTTCTCCCTGTGCACTGTGGGTTCTCTCCAGGTTCTCTGGCTTCCTCCCACAGTCCAAAAACACGCTGAGGTTAGAGTAATTGTTTTTTTTAGAATAATTTTTTATTGATCCCCCACTGCGAAATTTACACACCACAGCAGCATTCAAAAATATAGAAAGTAATTAGTTAAAGTTAATTGGTGATTCTAAATTGTTCATAGACGTGAATGTGAGTGTGCTTGGTTGTCTGTCTCTAAGTGTAGCCCTGTGATAGACTGCCGACCTGTCCAGGGTGTTCAGTGCCTTCACCCTAAGTCAGCTGGGATAGACTCCAGCCCCCTGAAGAACTGTGTCATTTGAATAAAGCTGCATTTTAAGATGGCCTTTTTTAGTCACTTGTCAAAGGAGTGTCTGTGTATTGATCACACTATCTGATCATCATCCATTAAAGCCACACCTGACTAGAGTGTGGCCTAGCTTAATGGTTGAGAATGTGTTACCAGTGAACAGTTAGAAAAACTTTGTGCATAATTTGGCAAAATTGAACCCTTTTTGAAGCAAAACAACAGAAATGAGACTCAGAAAAGACCATTTGCATGCTGCATTTCTAGTTTTGATTACTGTAGAAGTCAGAGGCAAATGATAAAACACTTTTTAAAAAATAGTCATTTAAACTCAGATAAAATGAGTTTAAAAGAAAAAAAAATTAAAGAATCATGTTATACTGAATGGTGCTAATTCACATTCTTTTCACACACACACACACAAGTACCGAAATATCTCATCCTATGATCAGGCAGTAAACCACAACCTAAATAACAGCAACATTTATTATGCGCTGAATGACCCTGTGCATTCACACAAACTGTGCTGCTCCAGGCTACATGTTTATGGCAGCAGAATGAAGGGATGTGACTGTTTGGAAGAAGACTGCTGCTCTCACACAAGAGCAAGAAGCTAAATGTCATGTGACACAAATGAGAGTTCATGTAAGAAGACCCTTCCCTCCAGTAACTCATGATGCTGCTGACCCCTCCCTCACTTCTAACACCATCACACAGTCTTTCAGTTCCTGGTTTGCTGAAAGCCACTGTTCAAAAAGTAACTTCTGGTATATTAGTTGGACATTTGCAGTTTGAATTATTTATATAAAGGCACAACACTGACAGCCTGAGAGACACAAACAGTTAGTTTTGCTTCATCACAGCCAGTATCAATGACTCTTGACACTGGACAAACTGGAGGGAGAAGGCTTCGTGTGTCCAAAATCATTCCAAGTTTAGTTGCTGCATTGCTCCTCCCTTTACAAATGGAAACCTCTTCACGGAAGCTGAGTGACCAAAACTACAGTTAAACGGTCAGAAAAGTTATTTCCGAATGTGTATCAAAGTTACACGTTGCTACAACTAGTGCAACTGGTTTAAGAAGAAAAGAAAAAAAACAGCAAATAAAAGCATCCAAAACGCAGCGCGCGTTTGTGTTCGTGCGCACTGGGTTGAAACAATGGCACACTAGCGTTTTGCTTGACTTGATTTCTCTTGGTCATCTCTTACCACTTCAGCAATAAGCAGCATTCCCTTCCTGGAAGTGGCGAACTCTTTGCTCGGAAGAACAGAAAGCAGGACAGTCTGGCGCGCCCGATTCGAGTTGGGAGCCTCGATGTCCCCCATTGTTGGAGAAATAAAATAAAAAGTAGTACGTCTCCTCAAAGTTGCGATGGTTTAAACTACTCGTAACGTAGCGGTTTTGAGGCAAGAAAAAAAAAAGAAGATGTGGAGGCGTGAGGCTTCTCGGAGGTGGAAACGGAAACAATGACAGCGCGGAAACGCAGCGCCAGCTCCCAAAAGCGCAACATCTGCTTTCTCCAGATGTGAAATGCGATGCCCCCAGCTGCACAGTCCTGCAGCACTCAGTGGAAATATCCAACTCATGTCACAAGGCAACCTTTATTGAAATGTGGTTTTACAATGAGATTTATCAAAACTGGGAAAAAAAACAAAAAAACATCCAACAAACAAACAAACAAACAATATATATATATATATATAAAATCCACCAGTATGTGGCAGCATCAAGTAACTTTTAATTTAAAGACAGTTTCCAACACAGTACAGCCTTCAGATTACCGACATGTAATAAAGTCATCAGTGTTGGGGGAGTTTAGTTTGTTAATTCTCCCATACTGCATTCTTTAATTTACTGTAATTAATTTATCCCTTGGCTTGAGTCTGGATTTCAGTTCTTGGCTTGTTGAATGTGATGATCCTTACAAGCGTGAAGCTGTCCACACACAGCAGTCCACCTAATATCAGACACACGATCTGCAAACAGAGAGCAAATCTCAGAATAAATACATTAAATGTCACATCCATGTGTCTGCTCATGTACTACTATGGGGACCTGACAAAAAGAACATTTCTAATTGGAAATTATTCCTCAGTTGCAGGGTGGGGGTAAGAGAGAGAGGCCATACTGTTGGGCAACAACACATGTATACAGATAAAAACAATGTCTGGATATTTGAATGTACACGTATATGAGAGAAGCAAAAGAATAAATAAATCCATATATTAAAGTTGGTCCACACTATAGATTTCAATTTTAGATTAAAGAAGTCCTTCTCACCGCTCCAGCCAGCTTGCCTGCAACACTGTACGTAGACAAAGCCATCAGGCTCAAGACAATAAAGTAGACTGCTGCAAAGACCGAATTGAAAACATCCTGAGGAAGAAAAAAACAGAAGAACAAGAACTTAAAGCTACAACATGTGGCGACATTTTCTTCTTACAATGCCTTTACAAACTTGGAGGATATTATAATGTTGTGGCGTTATTGGCATGAATATCAAGTTAACAACACTGCCAAAGCATCCAGAATGGTGTAATATTTAAAAAAGATGAAGTAAGAGAATTATAAAGGAAAAAAATACATTAAGTGGAATAAAGGAAATCAATAAGGCGATAAAAGGAACAAAAATAAATAGGCAAAACAGAAGAAAAAACAGTTAAAAAAAATGTGTGTGCTATCTGTATAATAGGCTATGTTAAGATTATTGTCATATTTAGAGATGTTTTATTTATACGTCCCTCATCTTGTGATGCACAGCCACATACTGTGCAGTTTTAAGCTGTTTGACAATAGAAGCTGTTGCTTGTCACTGTCAACAACTTCGGTGACGTTTAAGATTGGTGAAGATTAAGACCTCACCTGCCATGCAGTGACCACAGACTCTTTTGTCTGTTGGCAGCCACAGTTTCTTGAGTCATCCTTTCTCTGCTGCTCGACTGTAGTCACTGAGTCTGTATTTGCTCAGGATCTGTCTCTGCTTTGCATCTCTGACAGTAAAGAGATATTCTGCCAATGTATTTCCATGGTTTGGAGCCAGATTGCAAAGAAGTATGCTTTGAGTTTTGGTTTTATTCTTCCAGTGTTCCACATGAGTCTCTTTTGTTAATGTAATCCTTTGGCTGACTGTGATTAGTGATAGGAGAGCAGTGCTGGTCAGTGATTCTTCACTGAGACTTCACAAACTTTTACAGACTCCTGGGTTTGTGTTGCTTGAGTCCTGGGGAGCTCAATTTGAAACGTAACCGAGACCTAGCTGTTCTTTTTTTAAAAATACATACATACATACATACATACATACATACATACA